TGTCAGCAAATGACCAATCGGCGACCTCAATTTTTCCCGAAGGTAAACCCCCGTGCCTGCAGAGCTGGTCTGCAGCTCATCAAAGTGTATGCTTGAGTATGAAGTCTCAACCGTCTGCAGACAGTGCGCACATTGTCTGCGCAGCTCACGGAGTACACACAGTATACCCGAGTATGTGGGAGCCTTTAGGGTGCTTGAGAGAAGCAGAGCATGCTCTATTCACACAAGGCGAGCTGTTGGTCAGGCTACTTCTTGTTACTCTCTAAAACAGTTATTGAATGAGGCGTTTACAAATGTAGGTAAACATAGACGTTTAACAACTCATTAAAATACATCAAAATTCACATCTACTTTATACAATATTTTTTGCATTCCGGCATCATTTAGTTTACAAATTAAGCACTGCGCGTGACAAGATCACAATTGTAAATTCGTATTCTCATAGGAAAAAATTGTATTCACAAATGATCATAGTTCTTTGTATTCATAAAGAGTAAAACAAAACTGTGAACTTAGTTTGTATTTGTAAATTTGTGATGTTGTAACTTTTTAAATTGTATCTTTATAAAGGAAACATAGGAACAAATTATATTTATGCACAGCTATTGACTAATATGCACACATTTCTGTCTTTACATACATGTTTATTTTTGACAGTATTCTTACCTCATAACAACTCTAGCTGTTTTAACCAAGTTAACTCTCCTCTATTGTGGATTTTACAATCTCATCCCCTCATCCTCTCAGTGTGTCATGTGACCAAAGCAGATTAAGCCCCAAGCTGCAAGGAAAAATGTCAACTCTGCACACGAGGATTAATGCAAATATGGTTCTATGTGTTTGCTTTTTTAAAATAACTTTTTTTGAGGTCGTCCTGCTTCATTTTCCTCATGCACACATTAAAATACAGGCTTTTTACAACACATCACCCCCCCGACCCCCACCCCCACCCCACTTTCCTCTCATCATGTTTTGTTTATACTTGCATGTAATCTTACATAACAGAGTGTAATCCGAAACATTCATCCACCAGTGCTCCCATTTTATTTCAGTGCTGTCTCCCATCTCTTCCTTTCGTCAGCCATCTTGATCTGATCATTGTCATGTCCTTGTTTGTTCTGTCTTGCCTGGAAAGTTTTTTTAAGCATCTGTCGACATTATTCACATGCAGCAATCTCATCTAAACCCTCCATTTTCTTCCTCCCCCTCTCTTCCAATGGTTTATTTTGAATTCTGTGGAAATATCCATCTGCATGCTATTCTTAATGTTGCATCATCTCTCCTTCAATCCTTCCTGTTGTTTGTGAATATCATACCCATTCTCCCACCCATCCACTTCCATAGAGAGGAGGAATGTGAGGATAGCACAGAGGAGGAGGAGGAGGAGGAGGAGGAGGAAGAGACTCCTGTGACTGAGTCTGACTCGGATGAGGAGGGGGCTAATCAGAGCACCTCCAGGTATTTTAGGACTCGGTGGTGACATAGAAGTGAAATATTTTGTTCCTGTGTTTTTGGTTCTTCGTGTAAACGGAGGAAGCTGATACAGTATGTGTCTTTTGTTGATGTTTTGTGTTACATAAACTGACATGAGGGAAAGAAAGTCCACCGTCTTTTAGGTGCAGGGTTTTATCATTTTATCATCATTGTCCCATCCCATGACCCAGTTTGGTCCAAGCATTAGCTGCTGGACAGATGACCTCACATGTGACTCTCAGATCCTTTGGTCTACAGAAAAGTTCACAGTTGACCCAATGAAGGAGTCAACTGTGAACGTGGTGAAGGGGAAAGATCAAATAATTTTTATTATGTGCTAAAAAGCTTGAAATTGAAAGAGGGTGGACTTTCTTTGTCCCATGATTGTATATTTTGTTTACTCTGTACTTCCTGTTTGTGTTAACTTTATTACTGTGGTATTAATTGTCTCCTAACCAGTGAAAGAAGCATCTTCTCTTTGATCCACCCAGTCTCTTTACATATTCCTCTCGATCCGTCCCTGTTTCTAGCCAAGCTAAACCTCCTACATCCACGGTTCACCGGACAACCCTTCAGTCCGTCACCATCACCTCCAGAAAACTGAATTTAAAAGAAGATGAGCGAAGAAGCCTAGCAGAACCATCCTCTTCAGATACTTCCTCCTTTCCCTCTCCCCCATCCAACAACTCACCCTCTCTCCTGACCACCCTGCTGGCCAGAAAAAGGTCCATCGTCATCGTCCCAGCCACCAAGGAAGTCAGCCCGCCCCTGCGCGGCACCTCCCGCCCGTCCCCTGAACGCCTGCCCTACCTGCCCCACTCGCCCTTCCACCTCTTCTCCTACGACCTCGACGAGGAAGCGCCACCTGCTGCTCAAAGTAAACGCAGCGAGGAGTCGTCCAAAGCTCCATCTCCAAGGTCAGACGGAGCGACGCTCCTGTCTTCAACAGGATTATCTTCTCACCTGCACTTTTCCACTTCTTCTGTTTCGGGCGTTTGTTCACAGCCCCAGCTGGGATTTCTTTTCTGCACAGCTTCACTTGTTCGTCACCTTCTTTTCGCACAGTTCTCTTCACGTTTTTTTCCACTTGGCAGCTTCACATCTTGACTTTTTGTCACTTTCACATCTTCACACGTCTGTTTTTAGTTCTTCTGCTGAGTTGACAGTCGCACGTGTTTGTCATCACTCCACATTGATTTATCAATCTGCTCTTTTCAAAAGCAGCAGCGATGTCTTCTTAACCTCTCAATCTCTAAAGCTTTGTAGTTTCTCATTCCTTCTTAGTTTCGTGTAAAACCTTTTTTTTTTCTTCATTTCATGTTTATTTTCATTTTCAAGATGTTTTTTTTTAAATGTAACTGGGTGACCTCTGTAATTTCTCATGCCATTGTTAGTTACATGATCACCCACCTTTCTTGTCAGCAGGTGATAACTTGCCTCGATATTTGCCTCTATATGTGCTTGTGTCTGTTAGCAAAATATCTTATGAACAACTTGATGGATTTTAAGGAAAACTCTCAGAAAGTTATAATCTACAACGGATTAATTTTTTGAAGTCACCTTGATCCAACATTTTTAGTCATATTTTTCTGTCATTTTAAAAACAGAGCTAAAATTGGGTGTGGTAGTAGCTGATAGTCTTTCCCAACACATACTTCATGCACTAAGAGATTGCACAAGATTTTTCAGTTTTGCATAAGATTATATGTAAAGCGAGTTTCAAGGTTCAATAAAAACACTACAACTCACTAGGAACTACAATTTTTAACACAAGAAGTTTAATACTTTGACTCATTTAGACAATATGCATTTCTTCAGGAAATCCTGTCTTTACTTCCTTCTCACACTTTAGTTAGTGAGTAAAAATGCACATTTTTGCACATCCTTTAAAATACAAATAAAACATCACCAGTTCTATATTTTAGAAGTACTAAAGCTTTAAAACAGACATCAGAAGATGAACTGGCTAAAGAAAAGACTTTTAGAAGATTTGTAAAAGATTCAGAACAGCTATGTCTGAGGACAAACATATTTTCTGGAGTTTTCCTGCAACCTGATAGTAAAAACACGTCAGTGGTTCTTAATTAGGATCCCAGAGTGTTGCACCAACAGCATTAAGTAATGTAAGAAGATGACTCTGGGGTCATGCTTTACATTTTGCGCTGTTAGTCAGTGTTGTGTGACCGGTGGTCCTCTCATGTCTAACCGACCTTTTTTCCTTCAGGAATGGAGGTCTGACGTCCTACTCCTCTCTCAGCACCCCGAGCACCCCCACAAGCTCAAGGTGAGAGGACGGTGCCTCAACATTTACTTCCACGTACTGTACCTGCTTTGGAACGGGCTCTGAAACACATGACTGCTGTCCAAATACTGTTAATAAATATAAACTGGGCCTTGAGTCAACAGACATCAGAATCTGAATCAGCTTTACTGCCATTGCACTGAAGCACAACGAAATTACATTCCAGTACAGCCCGTCCATGTAAAACACAAACAAACAGACATGGGTAGACGGAGGTGTCTGAGGCTGCGGCCTCGTGGGAGGCGCTGCCATTTTTGTTTAGATAAGGAAAAGAGAAACATGAGGGAAGAGGAGATGTTAAAAAAAAAAAAAAAACATATTTCACACTGTGTCCTACATGCAACACAGTGTGAAAGTTGCAAAAATAAAAAATTAAAAAAAACCTCAGCACTGGAACAGCAACATACTGATGACATCATGATACATATATGCATGAGGAAGGCCGATGAAAGCGGTGAGTTTGTCCGTGGACACTGCCAGGTAGATAAGAGATGGAGCAGTGTCAATCAGCCAGCTCAGCTCCGACACTGGTCCACTGATGTCCTCTTGAAGGGAGCAGGTAGGGGAGTGGGGAGCAGAGCATCTTGTTCACATAACATCCAGGAAAGTTTGAGATAGTTGGCCAATTCAAGGCCGACACGGGGGAGCCAGTTTCAGATAACAACAATTATTTTGGGTCAGGCCGACTCTGCTTGATTTCCGCCTGCCTTATAGTTCTACTGCTAGGTCTCAATGGCCACTTCAATCAGCCAAATTATGTGGTCAGCACTGCCGGGCTAAGCTAGTAGCTTCTCCAAGATTGATTCCTTCCCACCAGCGAGTTTCAGGAACCGCAAGTGGCCTGTGATTCTCAGAAATCATGTCCAGCTTACAGCTCAGCTCACACAGCATCTGAGTCTGAGTGCTCACCGCACGGCACATCCCTTCACACAAGCCGGGCAGTCCAGAACAGCTGCCAACGTTTTCCATATTTGTCGATATTCCAGGTAACTGCCAACTCCAAAAAGCAAAAATCCTGTTACTATAAATCCAATTATGTACACGTCTTCTACATCCTCAACGGATAATATGGACAGGCACACGATCTTCCATTGCCCCCAGGAATCCATTGTGTGTCCAGCTGCAATTGTCTCGTCAGGGCAAGAGGGCTCTCCTTCACCCTGTCTTCTCATCGAGAAAATGTGATCAGTTGTGTTGAGAGACCAGCTGACCAGATCCATAATTTACAATTCAGAAGATATACTGTATAAAGAGAGGCTCCGATAGAGTTCACAGGACAAAGAGCAGAAGCAGGAGCAGGAGGGAAAAGCATCTGCCTTTGTCTAGAGCAAGCATGAAAAAACCATCAACCGTATGGTTTCTGAGTTACAAAACTTATTTTATTTTCTACTTACGGTTACTGAAATGTAAATTATTGTCCCCCTTTGCAGAACAAAGGGGAAATTGGACATTCCCTGCCTTCATCCGTGAATGTTGTGAGCATAACCTGAAAAAATAAGGGAGACACCGACTTCCATTTTGGGGTTTGGCTACAGTTAGATGCAAGAAAGGCTTTTTTTTTTTATTGGGTTACCACATCATAATCCTAGATGTCTGCTGCTATATATCCATATATGTTTCCCTTGTGAACGGAATAACTTGGAAAAATAGGCAGCGTCCTAACTTCCATTTTGATGCGTAGCTGCATATAGGCATAAGAAAGGTCACTATGGAAAACTGGGATGTGGGTAAAGATAATGGACAGATGAATGGATGGG